CACAAAGAAGCCTAGATTCGAACAAGCCACCTATAGGCCTTGTACGAAAGGATATCAAAAGTCTACAGAGCTAGCTACAGGGAGTGTCTCAATATATACCTATCCTAGTCGGGTCCGAATTCGGATCCGACCTCGGGCGAATGGCTGATGAAGGGCGGCAGGTACTTCCTCCGATCCGGCTCTGGGATTGGCTCAATACTTGGCGAAGTTGTAACATCGTTACACAGGGTTTTTCGGCACGCAGTGACAGACGTTAGTTAGAAACTCGTGCAGATTGTATAAGTGATGCAAGAAAGTCATGCACATCGAACAAACTGCTTCTTGTCGTGCTGCCATATAGATGGCGCAAGCTATCTAGTAGCTTATGCTGGAGGGTTGGTGTTCGTAGCTGCGGCCTATGCTGACTTAGGGTTACGCCTACCGCGTGCAAGTGCTACAACTACAGATAACTATCTATAACAAAATCTAGAATGATATATACATGCGTAAGAAGTATATAGAATAGTAACGTATTTTAACTTGCTATATAGCTGATTAGGGTTAGAGTGAGGGTTAGCGGCTCACATTGTTATACGAAGAAAGGGAGTCCCTTTGTTTTCTCTAACAAATCTAATCTGCGCGCACGGACAGGAGAGTCCCTTTCTTTGCCCATAACATAGTTAAAAAGTAATGCAACTTCTATGCGACGTGCAGTACGTGCGCAGCTACTCTATGTCTAAATTTCGCGATAACTGCAATAGTGCGTCGCGTTGTACTTTGATAGGGAATTTTAGTGTTGATGTTCCTCTGAACCCCAAGCAATAACCCCAAGCGATAACCCTAAGCAATAACCCTAAGCAATAACCCTAAGCGATCGCCTCTACTACGCTTATCCAGAAATAATTAAGTTATGTAGATATGATACATTGATTGGTCTGAGAGTTTGAAAGAAGACGCATCGCTGGCGAAACTAATACTATTTGGGTAAGATTACCACTAAGCGACAGAGGCTTAGCGTGGGATTAAAGGCCGTCTGCTCACAGAAACCGGAAGCTGCAACTGCATGAGAGTGTAGTTAGCTCGCAGCCATGTAATCTGCTCGCTCGATATCGTTACTTAAACCTAACTAATCATTGACTATACATAGTCATCTATCATGAACCAACCTAGTTAGACACCTTTCCTTACAAAAATTACGCCATTGTTGTTGCATCTTGTTACACGGGGTTGGGCTATACTTGCCTAGTCTCGGTCCGGGTTAGGGCGAGATGGTAAATGCTGTAAGCCGTGCGATTGTTTTCTGGCGATTCGTAGTGGAAAGGAGTTATGGAAGGTAACTAATGAAGTAACAATCAATTCTATTGGTGAATAGAATAACTAGTTAAAAAGACTAAATAACGTTAGGTATGTATACATATTACATATGTAGTAGATGGATCAGCGAAATTCGCAATGAGAAGTCAGCGCATTCAGCCCCTCTTTGTCATCTGTAAGAAATGTTTGCCTGACTTCCCTCTCAGTCAGTAATGTGACTTTTGCTTCTGGTACTCTCTATTAGTCTGTTCCCTATTATTATAACAACGTGAGGAACACCTGCATGTATCTGTTGTTACAAAAACATCAAGGTTTCTCAAAATGCCGTCTAATAGGAAGCGTTACAAGGGTTGCACTTTCCGTCGTCGATACGTGGGTGCATTTCTTTTTTTGCTGGCTTCCATATTGATCGGTATGTCTCCATTGTTCATTGCTTCAGTCCTCAGCTCTTAATCACCCCATTGCAGGTCTGGTCGCGAGCACCGACGGTCCTGAACCGTCCGTTGAAGCCTACTATAGCTCACTCGAATCACGTCTCGGATATTGGCTCCTCCTCGGTAATGTAAGGCATTGTGGACTGTATGCGAAAGGACAGCTGTCACCCTTTCCCATATCCAAAGCGCAGCAAGCTATGGAGGATAAATTGTACAGGAGGTTGGGCCTAAACCCAGGTGATCGAGTCCTCGATGCTGGTGCCGGCTCGGGGTACGTCGCTATGACCATGGCGAGACGCGGCCTCGATGTACAGGCTATCGACATCACGCCGCACCACATCGCTGATGCAAAGAAGAATATTGAGAAATACGGCCTACAGGACAGGATCAAAGTCGACTATGCCAACTACCATAACCTGAGCCAGTTTCCCGATGCATCGTTTGATGGAATTTACACCATGGAGACTTTTGTCCATGCAGATGACCCAATCCGAGTTCTCAACAATTTCAAGCGACTCCTTAAGACAGGCGGTGTCCTGGTTCTACACGAAGCTGATATCAGTCGTGATTCGGGAAAACTGCATGATGTGTTGCGACTTTCTCACTGTCAAAACACACTTCCACAGGGTGCTTACGAAGAGCTCGTGAAAACGGCAGGATTTAAAGACTTTTCCCTCGAAGACCTGACTGATGAGGTGCTGCCTATGTGGAGACTCTTTGGTGTGTTATGCTACGTGCCTTATCAGATATTCAAACTGTTTGGGATACAAGACCGTTTTATCAATGTCATGGCTGGCGTGGACACGTGGTTGAATTGGGGAGATAGACGCTACATTTCAGTAAGAGCCGTGAAACCTTGACGCGCTGTACTGATACCCCGGCACTTGCCTCACCCGTTTCTTGAAATGAGAAAGTGCAGCCGTGCATACACGCTAATGCTGGAATATCAATGTTTGGCTTGATCGATATACATGTTGGATGTATATTACCTGTTGTGTATAGTTCGAAACTTGTCTGGTACCTAAAGAAATACAAGATTTCTGGTCAATTGACAAATGAGCCGATTGTTCTTGTGGATTGTAATGACGCAGGCAAGACTACTCGGATCAGTACCGGCAGTAGTGTCACTCAGAGGCATATGGGAGTGCGTGGGACATCAAACGAGTCTTGATTCGAATAGACACCTATAGGCCTTGTACGAAAGGATATCAAAGGTCTACTGAGCTAGCTACAGGGAGTGTCTCCATATACACCTGTCTCAGTCGGATCCGATCCGGGTCCGACTAGAACAATAGCTGGGGGAGGGGGCGGCGGATACTTCCCCCGATTCGGCTCTGGGATTGATCTGATGCTTGGCGAGGCTGTAACATCGTTACATGGATCTTTGTGACAAGATGCATCGCGATATCCAAAGTCGCAGTATACTATTAAAGTATCAATGTTTGGGGACTATGCTGACTCTATAGATACTAGGTGTCAATGCACTAATATAGACCCATGATTTGTGGTGGGACATATAATAACTTTTGCCCTTGCTACACTAGGAGTTTTCCTCGTGTTTCTTGCTCTCTACAGCGAAACTCCCGGGATTCGCGGTCTCAATGACTGAGTAGTGCTAAACCCCAAGATAATTATATTTCGCGCTTGCGCTGCTTTTGCAGGTACCTAAATATATGATAGCGATGTAAAATGGCGTTTGCACAGGGGTCAAATAGTGAAGCAGGGACGAACTGCCTTGAGGAAAGGGATAGACAAAGGATGGCTGTAGGGCTTTCAGCCACGTGGGATTAAATACCCTCTGTCCTCGCAGCCCATCGCAATCGCCACCCTAACTGTATGATTATAAAAAGTACGTTATTAAATACGTGTGCGTTTTTTGCATCTCTAAGAGAAGTTGCATCTATTTTGCTTACGGCAACGGCAGTGAAGCATTTCCTTTCGCAACGGCGAATGGAAGCGGCTGTAAATAGTTAGTTAGTGGATTAGGCTGCTTTGACTGGTCTAGCTCAGTGAGGCTTAGGCTGATGCAAGCTGGGAAGTACAGGCATGACTGAATCGTTATGGTGTTGCTTATGCTTATGGGCTCGCGTTATTAGCATAAA